CTTCTCTCCACATGGTTTCTAAGGGAAGTAAAGATGAATAAGTTCTGCCACAGCCCACACATGCAATACAACAGGGAATGAGCAGAGAAGGAAAGGGCAAAGTGGGTGAAACTCACACATCTGGGAAGAGAATTTGGAAAGGAGTGACAGGCATTGGGTGGGATGAAGTGACATCTCTAGAAAGGGGGAGGAGACTGGAGGGAACAATCAAGAGTAACTCATTCCAGCACTTACTAAAGGCCTACCATGGGCTGGGCATTGTGTTAGGCATGGCAAAGTGGGGGTGGGGTGGGGGAGTCACAAGAAGGAAAGGGGGCCCAGGCAGAGCTGGAAGGGCTGCAGAATCAGAGAAGCAGCAAGACAGGTTTAAGAAAAAAGACACTGAAACCAAGGGAGCTGCTGGGGAAGAGCAGGAAGAACAGAGACTCCAGCAAAGCCAGAGTGAGCAGAGGAACTGGAGGGGTCTAGAAGGAAGGATGTTCACTCACCCGAACCAAGTAGGAAACCCCGGGTCCCATGACTTTGTCGTTAGGATGCAGCCAGCCCCGCGTGGGCTTATTGACAAAGCTCCCGTGGCGGGTCCACTCCTCGCCCCCCAGCTGGCCCCCTTCCACCCGAGTCCTGCGCCCGCCGCCTCCACTCAGCTTGTTCATGTCCTGGAGGAGGGGCAAGGGGCCTGAGTCTGGCATGGCTGCCCCTATGATCCCCTCCCCATCCTCGGCCACCCTGCCTGGCTCCCCCTTTGGCCCCGGGCGGCCCCCGGCTGGGTTTGCCAGCTTCAGGTTGCTCATCCGAGGGAAAAAGGAGCACAGGGTAGTGGGACTATCGTCCCTAGGCAGAGGTGGCAGGATGGGCCCCAGGGAAGAGGCTGATGGGGAAGGCAGCTCCTCCGGTGGGGTGGACCCTGAAGCCCCCTCCTCCAGCGATGACAGAGACTCATTCCGTAGTGGGTTGTACTTGGGCTTGGGGGGCAGGAGATCCATGGCTGGAGTGAGAGGGAGGCTGCTGCCCAGCCTGGCCCCCCTGCCTGTCAAGGCAAGGGGGCCAGGCAGGGGGCATTCCCAGGCCCTTAGCCTGATTGGCCCTTTATGGCCCAGGGATCTCAAGAGTCCTGGGAAGGGAGAGGGACAGAAGGTTTGGATTCCTCTGGTTCCCCCAGCTCAGACCCAGACAGTTTCACACCCCATCCCCGCCCAGCGTGGAGCCTCTTCTCTGGCTGAAGGAAGAACGGGCTGGACCTACAGCTGCCTGGCTCCTCCCCAGGGGCGGGGAGCTAAGGGAAGAGACCAATCCTGAAGACAGTGCTGACTCACAGGCTCTGAGGGACTGAGCCCCCACAACTGCCCCAACCTAAAACTCCTGCAGAGGTAAAGCTATCCATGCCCACCCCCACCCTACCCCATACAAACAACGAGTAATCTGGGGAGGAGTAAAGTGGGGGCGGGAGGAAAGGATGGAGAAGTGAGAAGGAAAGGAGGGAGATAAGAGGAGGTCTGGGTCTGGCTCAATCCAAACCGGACAAGGACAGGCCAAAGGGAGCAGGAAGCTGAGGGAGGGTAGGGGAGAATAAGGGAGGAAACAGAGGCAGCTGGGGGTGGAAAAGGGAGGGGATCCCTGAGCTCAGCATTTCCCTTCCTGTTCTGGTTGAACACTCAAATTCCCCCCACCTTCCAGCCCAAGCCCCACCACCACCACCACTATCACACAGTGGGGTGGTAGCCCCATGGAGCCTAGGACATTAGCAATAGCTGCTACAATAGCTGTGGACAAGGGCTAAAGAAATGGGGAAAGGAGCCCTGGCCAGGTGGCTCAGTTGGTTGGAGCGTTGTCCTGTACACCAAAAGGTTGTGGGTTCGATTCCCAGTCAGGGCATGTACCTAGGTTGCAGGTTCAATCTCCGGTCCTGGCACATACAAGAGGCAACTGATTCACATTTCTCTCTCATCAATGTTTCTCTCTCTCTCTCTCTCTCTCTCTCTCTCTCTCCATCCCTCCCCCTTCCTCTTTCTCTAAAATCAATTAAAAAACATATTCTCAGATGAGGATTTTAAAAAAAGAAGAAAATAAATGGGACAAGGAGCCCTGGCTGGGTAGTTCAGCAGCTCAGTTGGTTACAGCATCATTCAGATACACCAAGGCTGAGGTCAGGGAACATACAAGAAGCAACCAATAAATGCATAAGTAAGTCAAACAACAAGCAGATGTCTCTCTCTCTCTCTCTCTCCCTCCCTCCCTCCTTTCGTCTCTCTCTCTAAAATCAATAAATTAAAAAAATAATTTTTTTAAAAAACAGGGAAAGGAAGAAAGTGGTCCCAGTAGATGCAGAGAGGGGCCAAGAGGAAGGGCACAACTGGTGTGAAAAGGGGAGAGGAGCTGAAGCGGAGGGCAGGCAGGTGGCATCTACCATGTCAAGGAGCAGTAGGCCAGAGACGAGCACTGTTCTGCCCCTTTTTCCATAGGCCTAGTTAGTAAAGCCAGCTGTCAAGGGTAGAAGCAGGGCAGGGCACTGGCACTAAGGTCAGGTCCCTCTCCTTTTGCAGTGGTGACTGGTGAGGGCCCATGTATCCACCAGGGGACACAGTTCCTCTCATACTAGGGACAAAGTCTGGCTGGAGGAGGTAGGAGAGTGAAACAGAGACCATGAAGGGATACAGGAGCAGAAAACAAATCTGTGCTAAGCACAGGAGAGAGGAGTGTCAGGAGAAGATAGGCTGAAGCTGGACACAGGGAAACCATCCCAAAACCATTCCTTCCACCCACAGCTTCCTGCCACAACTCTGCTTAAGGGGGCCATAGAGGAAGTTGGAAAAAAACCAAAAAGGAAGTAGTAAAATATATATAACCCCTAAGCTCACCTCAGATTACCTACCCTTAAATTACTTAAAAAGATGCAAATAATCATATGATTATAGTGATTAACAATACCAGCACTTAAAACGTGTTAAATACTATGCTAAGCTCTTTGTCTCTTCTTAGGCCTCATCAGAGGAGAGCTTTGTCATTTCACCCACCACTCCTGAGAAGGAATTCTATTAGTCCATTTCCTAAGGCTCAGCGCTCAGGCATAAAGACCATGAGTAAAGGATTCTGCCATAACCTTACACCCCTGACACTCACAAACACACACCAGGAAGTCTTCATCTTTAGAGATAGGTGTTCTGTAGGAGCCTGCAGCGACCAGAGGCAGGGAATGACCAACAAGCGTGGGCATTTGGTAGAAAAGAAAGAGGAAGTAGGACTCATTCTGCAGAAAGAAAGGGGATTGTCTACTGGGAATCGGGGTGGTTGAGTGTGGGGGAGAACCTGAATGTGCCTTCTCAGACCAGCAGGGAGGAGGCAAGAGCAGCTGGAAGTAGCAGGAAATGTGGAAAGCCTCAGGAATGTTTCCAGAAAGGAAGGTTGGGCAAACGGGACCAGAAGGAATGCCTAGGCAAGAACTCTGATTAGGGGGAGGGTAAGAGCCAGAGACGTGGTGGAGGCTAAGCAGCCCCTTAAAAAAAAAAATCAAACAGAAAAACTTCACTATCACCTACACCCACCCAAGTCACCGTTTTCTGATGGCAGAAAACTTTCGCTCCTATCAGACATCAAATAAATGGCCCTGCTCAAACCCTTTGGTACAGGTATGAGACGTAACAGCTGTTTCTGGGGTAGGTGGGTCCTGGGAAGGGAAACTCAGGGAGTGGGGCCAGAAATCTACCCCAAGTTCAGCCCCCTTTGGAAGAGGGTAAGGGAGAGGAAAAGGGCTGTCTTTATTTTTATTTTTGGTACGTGCCCCTAGCGGGAACCGACCCCAGGACTCTCTGGTCCGCAGGCCCATGCTCCAACCACTAAACCAAACTGGCCAGGCAAAGGGTGTCTTTAATCTCTCCTCAGACTGAGATGGAATTTGGACTTCCCACCTGGCGGAGCCTGCGAAGCTCAGGAAAACTGAGCCCAAGGCCCAAAAGAGAAAAAGGAGAAATTTGAGCAGATAGAGTTTCTACGGTTGAAGACAAAGCTTCTGAAGTGAAGACCTGGGTTCCACAAGGATAAATCTCCTGGGGGGGAGGGGGTAGTCCCCTAGGGCCCTTGCTTTGGAGACTTGTAGGAGGCGAGGCTTCTGGACAATCCGACGTGGGTTAAGAAAGGGGCGGGACTTATAGAGGGGCGGAACCCCTAGAAAGGCGTGGCTTCACGTATTCGAATACTGTTGTTCATCGAGGGGCAGGGTTTTGCCCTTTTGGGAGATAGGCTTTTTGGTAGGCAAGAGTTAGAAGAGAATCGTCGCGCTGAGGCGGAGTTTCGGGGAACTGGAAGGACTAACGTGGGGATTCTTTATAGTAGGGCTTGGAAGCATGTCTAGGGGTGGGGCTTCCAGGAAAGCTGGGCTACAGGGTGGGGTCGGGGACAATACATAGAAAACAAGTCAGGGTTCAGGGAACCCCCCTGAGGCTGGGAGGTGGGACTTCCGGGGAGGGGGTCTCAGGGGGCGGAACTTATAAATAAAGACCGGAAGTGGGGTCCCGGGAGAGGGGTTCCGGGGTGGAGGAGTGGGTCACCTAAGGGGAAAAAAAATCCCAACTCACCAGGGCCTCATGGAGTCTTCGCACCGCACCGCGGGATGATTTGGTTCTTGATCACGCCACTGCCTCCTTGGGTCGCTGCTCCAACTTTCTCCCCGGGCAGGCCTCCCTGGAGAAACTTTATTGCACTCACTTCCGGCCTCTCTAACCCCTGACCCTCTACCCCACCGTCCCTCCTTCACTCGTCCCACTTTCCTGAATCAGCCAATGGAAATGCTAGAACGCTCACAGAAGCCGTTCTAGCCAATAAGAGGCCTATTTTTTACCTACGATCGTTCCTGAGAAACGTAAGACGTGAGCTCCAATGAGGACTGGACGAGAAGCAAATCTAAGCCAATGAGAGGCTTGAAGGTGGAGTTGTCCCGCCTTAAGCCGAAGGGACCAATAGCAAGTGCGGGCGGCGTGTTTGAAAGTGAGGCCAAAGAGGGTGGGCGCGCGTGCTGCTGGGAATTGTTTGGAGGCTGGCGGTGCGGTGCTGACGATCTTCAGGCTGAGCGATCATGTCGCACAAACAAATTTACTATTCGGACAAATACGACGACGAGGAGTTCGAGTACCGGTTAGTGTTGGCGTGGGGGCTATAATGAGGGCGTGTGCTTTGACAAGTGAGGGCACGAGGAGTTAGTAACCAGGACTGAAGAGACAGAATCGGCGCATGCGCCGCAGGTTAACGGGACAGGGTTAATAGTTGAGAGCGTAAAGCGCATGTGCAAAGGGTAGGCGGTGCTAGTAAAAGTAACAATACGGAATCTGGAGTAAACCCTCTTCGGGGAGGTGTAAGTGGGCATGGTCAGTGTTAACAGACTGCTGACCACCTTCATCCCTTGAGGTTCCTGTATAATTCTAAACTTCGTTGAGCAAGTTGAACTTGCTTTCTTAAGACTGCATATTATGGCAACACCATAGAATCGCGGAGCCTACTGGGAAAAGGTGTCAAAGGCGGACCTCGAATTTTTCTCACGTCTTCAGTGCAAGGGGTGTTAGAGCCTGCAAGTCTCTCTAATTCACGGGAAAGGGGCGTGGTTGTCCGGGTTGTTTTAGGAGGGGGGATTCGAGGAAATGGAATGTAATAAAACTGGCCGGGAACATTGAGAAAAGACTTAACATAGACCTAATCGATACCTTTCAGATATTTGAAGGGGATTTGTTTAGGAAACGATTATGGAATGCTCATAGGTTCTACTAAAGTTCAAGGGTAAGCATGGTCTCTGCTTTCAACAAACCTAAAAAAATCTGTGGAAATACAGACAGGCTTCAAAAAGAATGTGATAATTGGTATGATAGAGGTATGTACAGATTGTGATGGGAGTACATAAGTCTTGCCAAGGATGGTGAAGAAAGGAATCCCTACAGAGTCTGCATTTGATAAATCCTGAATTCATAATTCTAGATTAGAGAATTAGGGAAAACAAGAGGGTTCTATAAATGCTGCCATTCCACTAATTGTATTGTGTCATATTTAAAACAACTTCCTAGTTTGTATATTGACCATAAAATGGCAACTTGGCTTGTGTTTCTTCTCTAGCCTAGTACAGGGCTCTGGGCCCTCTGGAGAGCGCCATATATGCTGACAAATACATTAATCATCTATATGCCAGGTCCGTTGAAAAAGATCCCCAGGCCATGCTTGGACCCAATTAACTAATTTTTCCTCAGCTGTTTTTCTCTTCATCTGAACTGAGCTAACTAAAGTTATGTGCTTATAACACATTGCCCGGCTAGTTTCATCCTCTGGAAGATATGTGTCTTGGCAGTGGTATTTAGGTTTAAGAAAGGCTTTTGTTTTGGGGGGGGGGGGGGGGGTTGGGGTCTTTTGTTTTTTGTCTAATTAGGTATTGAAGCCAGTCTTTGTGCCAGGGGCTTATTAGAATGTAAGCTACTTTCAGACATTTAAACTAGAATTATGTTATCTCTAGAAAAAAAATCTCTTACTAATACATTTTCATCTAGCATGATAACGTCTATCTGGGTTAGACCGATTCAAATCAGAGTAATAATTTCTTGGCCATGAAAGGAGACTTATTCTTCGTTATAAAAGCATGGAGTTTCCCAAAAGAAGTCTCATGGCACATCCCCTCAGAGTTAGGAAAATGAAATTGAGAATAGATTTTAAAGGCTAAGACATTGACATTATTTCATCCTTTGTGATGGCTCTTCTACACAGCACTACATAATAGCCTTTCTTCACAAAAGTCACTTCTCTTTCTTACCAACCCTGTTCAAAACCACCCTTAATTATGCCCTGGCCGGTTTGGCTCAGTGGTGGAGCATCGGCCTGCGGACCAGAGAGTCCCGGGTTCGGTTCCCACTAGGGGCACGTACCAAAAAAAAAAAAAAAACACCCTTAAGTATTATGACTACTATGTGTGCTGTGGGGACCCCATTATATTGTTTTTAGGATAATCGGCTAGAAGACTAAGCTCCAGGAAGGCAGAGGCTTTGTATCAACAGTGCCTGGAATTTAGGTGCTCGTTCACTTGAGTTATTTACTAATTTGTACTTTTTAATATACTTTTGTGAGGATTTACTTAAGTTGGCCTTTATTTCTAGCTGCCTGTACCCCACAATAAGATAATATAAACTCCTTGCCATCAGAAACTGTTTCTCTTTTCTTTCCTCTCTTGGCTTTGTATGCAGGCTCTTGCCTAACAGACTGTACCCAGTACTGACACACATTCCCTACCTTCCCATGTTTCTGTTACAGGCATGTTATGTTGCCCAAGGACATAGCCAAGTTGGTCCCTAAAACCCATTTGATGTCTGAATCTGAATGGAGGAATCTTGGTGTTCAACAAAGTCAGGGATGGGTCCATTATATGATCCATGAACCAGGTCAGTGCAATGGCTGAAAGAACCAGGTAGGGCTGCTTCACAGAGGAAATGATAGATCACATAACCCAAAGAAATAAGGGAAAGGTGGGGGCGGTTTACTGGTTTCTTACCCCACAAGTCACCTAGAAAAACTGGAGTGACCAAAAATAAGAATAAAATATATGGGAAGTTCAGAGACAGCCTGTCAATGAAAAACCTCCTTTAATATCTAATTCAGAGGGTACTCTCTTTTCAAGGCCACATATACCCTGGGAGAGAGATTATGGTACCTACTTCTCCATCAAAATTCTTGGATGTGTTCCAAATAAGCCAAAGAAAGTATATTTCCTGATAAGACAGCAGACACCAAGCTGTCAGGCAAAACTAATAAAAGAACACCCTGGGGCTTGACAAACATAGCAAAAGAACTGATATTAACAATTCTGTACTTGGCAGACAGGCCAGGTTTATGGGACTGCTTCTAAGGCCATATGCTTAAATGCTAATTTAGTTATTAAGATCTGGGTGGGTAATGGCTGGGAAATGGGAGTGGGGTACCTTATAGACCATGCATAGAATGGTGTCAGTTTGTCTCTTAGATTTCACTCATTCTTTCAGAACCTCACATCTTGCTGTTCCGGCGGCCACTGCCCAAGAAGCCAAAGAAATGAAGCTGGCAAGCCACTATTCAGCCTCTAGCTTTACACAGCTGTCCTCACTTGCTGACATCTTTCTGATAACATTATGTTGCCTTCTTGTTTCTCACTTTGATATTTAAAGGATGTTTAAAATACTGTTTGAAATGTGCTGGTGACTGCTTTGCTTCTTGAGCAGAGCCAATAGCAGCATGGCCCAGCCAGAAGAGTGCTCTTTGGGCTGCAGCCTCTGCTGAGTGTGACCCCAGAAACCATGGTGAGCTCTGTATCCAGAACACACTTCGCAGATGGAGGAAGCATCTGAGAATAAGACCATGGCTGTTACAGGGATTGTATAAACTTGCTTTTTGTTATTTTCCAGCCAAGAGTATGTATGGTGATTTACGTTTCATTGTTTTGGAAACTTTCCATTTTATTCAAGAACCCTGTTTCATGTTAAAAGCCTTGATTAAAGAGGAAGTTTTTTATAATCTAATTCTCTACTTGTAAAGGTCCCCCCCGCCTCAGGGTGAGCATTACATTCAACATCATGGTTCTAATTATATGCCCTTAAGTTAGATGATGAAGCTCTGCTCTTTGCTGATAATGAGGTTTATTTCAACATTCAGGTAACTGGTTTTTAATCTAATCTTAAAAACAGACTTGCTGTCAAACATCCACTGAAATATATTTTGATCTAACTACTGGCCAGAGGTAGAGGTTATATAGGGATAACACCATCTCATCAAAACAAGTGAACTGCCCAGCTGGTGTAGTTCAGTGAATTGAGCATCCTCCCATGGATTAAGAGGTTAGGATTTGATTACCAATGGCACATACACGGTTGTGGGCTCAATCCCCAGTAGGGGGCATGCAGGAGGCAGCCCATCCATGTTTCTATTTCTCCCTTCCTCTCTAAAAAAATCAATGAAAACATTAAAAAAACAACAACAAGTGAACCATTTCCCCCAGGCCCAACGTTTGAAGGGCACATGGTAGAGGAGGTGGGGATTGGCTATCAGCCAGAGGCTGCATGTGTGCTCCACTTTCTACTGGGCCTAAGGCTGGGGTACACCTGTGGCCCATTCACTGCCCACATTGGGAGTTATTTTCAGTGGTTCTCACTTTGGCTAGCATTGGAATCACCTGGGTACCTTTAATAAAGTACTGATTTGTAAGTCATTCCTTGAGATGTTGACTTAATTGGCCTGGAGTGTGGCCTTGATGTGGGGATTTCAAGCATCCGTATTCAGGTAGTTACAGCACTAACTTTTGAGAAAACAGGTGTAAACTGTAGCTGGTCAGAAGACATTTCAGCCTGGCCGGTTTGGCTCAGCAGTTGGAGCGTTGACCTGCGGTCCAGAGAGACCCGGGTTCAGTTCCTGCTAAGGGCATGTGCCTTGGTTTCGGTTTGTCCCCGACCCTGGTTGGGTCGTGTGGGTGGCAGCCACTCAGTGTGTTCCCTTCACATCAATGTTTCTCTCTCTCTTTTCCTCACTCTTCCTCCCACTCTGTCTGAACAAAAAATGTCCTCAGGTGAGGATGAAAAAAAAAAAAAACATTTCACCAAATCATAGCTTACCCTCTGCTTTTATTTTTTTATCCTCACCCGAGGACACTTTTTCCATTTTTTTGTTCAGACAGAGTGGGAGAGAGAGAGAAACATGGACATGAAAGGGACACATCGAGTGGCTGCCACCCGCACCACCCAACCAGGGCCGGGGACAAACCGCAACCAAAGCACATACCCTTAGTGGGAACCGAACTCAGGTCTCTATGGACCGCAGGCCGACGCTCTAACCGCTGAGCCAAATCCGCCAGGGGTACCCTCTGCTTTTAAAAATAACAGTAGTGCCCTGGCCAGTTTGGCTCAGCAGTTAGAGCATCGGCCTGCAGACCAATGAGTTGGGGGTTTGATTCTAGTCAAGGGCACGTACCTCTGTTGTGATTTGTCCTCGGCCCTGGTTAGGATCATGCGGGAGGCGGCCACTCAGTGTGTATCTTTCACATCGATGTTTCTCTCTCTCCCTTCCACTCTATCCGAACAAAAGTGGAAGGATGTCCTTGGGTAAGAATAAAAATAAATAACAGTAGTAAATAAGGGATATTAATCTACCACCTTTTCCCTGTCTTCCATCCATTTATTCCAAGAGCAGTAGTTCAAGTGTGGTCCCTGGACTGGAAATATCAACATCATCTGGAAACTTATTAGAAATGTACATTTTGGGGCTCTACCCTAGACTTACTGAATCAGAAACTCTGAGGGTTGGGCCCAGTGACATTTTTTAAAGCTCTGCAGGTGATTCTGATGCATGCTTATGTTTGAGAAACCACTGTTAAAGGATTGGACCAGAACTGATTCTTGTTTGTTTTTTTTTGGTGGGGGAGGTCACCCTCAAAATATCACCATTATTATTAATAAAGATAATAGAGTACATGGCTAATGTCATTAGGCAAGTAGGCCTTTATTTTTTTAGTGCCGAGGTTCTTTTAATTGGAAAAATACAATCTTTTTTTTTTTTTATCCTCACCCGAGGACATTTTTCTATTTTTTTGTTCAGATAGAGCGGGAGGGAGAGAGAAAGAGAGAAACATCGATGTGAAGGGACACATCGAATGGCTGCCACCTACACAACCAACCAGGGCCGGGGACAAACTGCAACTGAGGTACGTGCCCTTAGCGGGAACCGAACCCGGGTCTCTCTGTACTGCAGGTCGACGCTCCAACCGCTGAGCCAAACCAGCCAGGGCAGAAAAATACAATCTTATTACTTGAGAAAAAATGGTCTAGAAGCCTGGCTATACCATTCACTTTGTTTTGCAGTTGTGTGGCATCCCTTCACCTTTCTGAGCCTGTTGCCCATCTGTAAAATAGATATCATATCTATCTTAGGTTTTTAGGAGAGTCAAATGAAACCTGCCAAGTGTGGTTCAGCAGTCCTCCAAATGATGAATGCATCTTAAACCTTTACTACAGAAACCAAAGTCCACAGACCAGTAGCATCATCATGACATGAGAGCGTGTTAAATACAGATCTCAGGCCCCACCCAAGGTCCCCAGATAATTAGTACAAACATTAAGGTTTGAGGAGCACTTTTATTTTTTTTTTTATTTTTTATCCTCACCCGAGGATATTTTTCCATTTTTTGTACAGATAGAGTGGGAGGGAGAGAGAGGAAGGGAGAGAGAGAGAGAAACATCGACGTGAAGGGACACATCGAGTGGCTGCCACCCGCACGACCAACCAGGGCCGGGGACAAACTGCAACCGAAGTACGTGCCCTTAGCGAGAACCGAACCCGGGTCTCTCCGGACCGCAGGCCGACACTCTAACCGCTGAGCCAAACTGGCCAGGGCGAGGAGCACTTTTAGACCAAAGGCAACTGAAATGAGATGTAGGGAGAGTAGTCCAAGTGGACACATGGCACTCCCTAGTCGCTGTCCCCAATTATACCTGCAAGAGCAATAATTGGGAGAGGTGATGCTTAAACTAAGCACCATCTGGAGCAAGGTGGAGCAAAGCTCTGTCTAGTCAATGAGATTTAAGTTATTCGCTTTATTGTTTATAATAGACCAATGAAAGTTCTACACACTAAAAGCTCACCTCCAGGGTATTCCTACCTCACAGGCAATGCTGACAGTTATTCTTGGTGTCCCTCCAACTTCCATTTGCTACAATATAAAATCCCTTCTGACACTAGTACCAGCCTCTGACCCCTTAGCCTATAATGCAGCCTTGCACACAAGAATCTGATACGGAACTAAGGTTAGAGTCAAGACTCCCTTTATTTCCAGCAGAAAGGAGCACCCCACAATCCTTAAAGCACCTCCAGATACCGCTCTTTTCGCGCCCCAGTCCTGACCCCCACCCCCGGAGCCTGGCCTCCACGTTTCCGGGTGAGAGGTGTCCACGTGGTTGTCGCTAATAACAACCCAGCACTGCTCCCGCCCTCTGGCTAAGGCTCGCGAGTGACAGTCAACTTCACCAATGAACCCGTGGATGTAGTCTGAACGACAGTCAAAAAGGCCAATTAATATGAGGTAGGGTGGGCCTAAGGCGGGACTGTGACTACGGAAGCTGCCTTGGGACAGGAGGAAAGGAGAAAAGGAAAGACCCAGTGAAGGGGCCAGAAGCAGGTGAGAACCCGAGAGAACTCAGTAGTCGGAGGAGTGATGAGAAGAGGTGGGATTCCAAGCTAGAAAGGATGCGGAAGGCTGCAGAAGAAGGCGGCTGAGTTCTGGTCGTGGTGGAGGGAGGGAACGCATTTAAAGGGACAGGTGCCCCAAAGAGAAGAGACATTTAAAAGTGCAGGTTCCCAAGATAGAGCAGACCCGAGGAGCCGAGCACAGCTGACACAAGATTTTAAAGTAGTAGCTGCCTGAGAGAGCAGGACATTTTAAGAAGACTAGTGCCGGGCTTAGAAGATATTTAAAGAGTCATGGGCTGGGGTTTGAGAACACGTTTATTGAAGAGGCAGGGATAAAGGAGCAGTTGTCAAGGGCCTGGTGAGGAAGACCATGCCCTCCTGCTCTCCCCCATTGTCCTTTCTGGCTCCTCCAGGTTCCCTCGACTCCGGACCCCCTATTTCAAGTCTATGGTCCCCAGTGCCCTTTAGATCTGGCGGGACTCCCGTGCTTACGACCCCTATTTGGGGGTCTGGGTTGCTACTTGAGGGCCTTGCAGAGGGGCAGAGAAGGCAGGACCATGGCATCTAGGGCCCCTGAACCTCCCCCAGGGCGCAGCGTGACGGCGGGCATCATCATTGTTGGAGATGAGATCCTCAAGGTGTGTCTGGGACAGAAGAGGGGGGAGGAGGGTGTTCTCCTGTCCTTAAGAGTCTGCTCCTCATTGTGTTAAGGGAGGGTGAACCAGGGTGGTGGTCCCCTTGCTGCAGTGGGATCCTGGAGTGAGTCCCATGTGGTGGAGGAAAAGTGACCTTCACTCTTTCAATTACTCTGTTGAAATTATAGCAAAGTCCTGACAATTTGCCAAGCATTATGGTATGGGGATGAGGGGCTTTACAGAAATGACAAGGAGTCAGCGTGTAAAGGAAGTACAGGTGCATGTATTATTTAAGAGTTAAATCCAACCTAACTGGGAAATGATCCAAGGCCCTCAGCAGAGTGGATAAGTAATGGTAGGCATCAGGTGTATAATAGTAATAGTGCTTACTAGGACCTGGCAGTGGGCTTATTACATCCTATATGTGATTTTACCAATCCTCACAAACAACCCCATGACATTGGTACTTTTATTATAAATCTTAATATATTATGAGACTAAGGCTCAGAGAGGTTGAGAAGCTTGCCCAAGGGAACACAGCTAGGAAGTAGTAGATGGACTTTCAACCTGATTCTCATACTCCAGAGCAACCACTTAACCACTAAACTCTGTAGAAGAGTAGCAGAGGTGGGGCTGGAAAAGACTGTATACACACTGTAGACAGACAGCCTCAAATATTCTGCAAAAGAATTTGAATTTTGCCCTAGCCGGTTTGGCTCCGCGATTAGAGCGTTGGCCTGTGGTCTGGAGAGACTTGGGTTCGGTTCCCGCTAAGGGCACATACCTCCGTTGCAGTTTGTCCCCGGCCCTGGTTGGGTCGTGCGGGTGGCAACCACTTGATGTATTCCTTTCATGTTGATATTTCTCTCTCTCTCTCTCCCTCCCACTCTATCTGAACAAAATATCAAAAAATGTCCTTGGGTGAGGATTAAAAAAAAAAAAATTTGAATTTTATTCTGTCTATAGTTGGAAACAACAAATGGCTTTTGAGCCTGAGAGTGATGGCAGTCACAGTGACACATTAGGAAGGGTATTTAGGAGGCCCCAGGCTGAGTACTTTGGCTGGAGGCTGGGAGCCTGGCCAGGGGGCTCTTGCAGCTATCCAGACGAAAGGTGCCAAGAACCTGCTTGGTGGCAGTAGGGACAGAGAGAAGAGAACAGATGAGAAGAGAACTTTCAGAAGTGGAGTTGATGGCCTGAGTGGCTGTGGAGAGTGTCTGGGGATGCCACAGACAGGCAGGAATAGGGTGAAGATGCCCAGTAAGCACTTGGACCAGAGGACGGAGACTGTCTGGGTTGGTGAGGAAGTGGAGGAGTTGTCAACATAGAATTGATCAATGAATTCATAAACACAGATGAGGTCAAGGTCATAGTTAGAGGAGGCCCAAAGTATATCACATCATCACTGACTCCATTCACATGGATCTTCTCACTCTTCTGCTTAGTCCAGAATTCTTGGCAGCCTGAGGTGGTATCCCCCAGGGAGCAGAGTGCCCCATCATCAAGCAGATGCAACTTTCACCCCTGTCCCCTTTGCCCTTCATCCCACAGCATTGATACTCTCTTCTCCCCCATTCCCAATCTTCCAGGGACACACTCAGGACACCAACACCTACTTCCTGTGCCGGACACTGCGCTCCCTGGGGGTCCAGGTGTGCCGAGTTTCTGTTGTACCTGATGAGGTAGCCACCATTGCTGCTGAGGTCGCCTCTTTTTCCAGCCGCTTCACTCATGTCCTCACAGCAGGAGGCATTGGTCCCACTCATGATGATGTGACCTTTGAGGCAGTAGCCCAAGCCTTTGGGGATGAGCTCAAGCCACACCCTGAGCTGGAAGCAGCCATCAAAGCCCTAGGAAAGGAGGGCTGGACAAAGCTGTCACTGATTCCCTCCTCTGCCCGCCTGCACTATGGCACAGATCCTTACACCGGCCGCCCCTTCAAATTCCCACTGGTGTCGGTTCGCAACGTCTACCTCTTCCCAGGTATCCCAGAGCTGCTGCGGCGGGCTCTAGAGGGGCTGAAGGGACTGTTTCAAAACACAGCTGTTCAGTTCCACTTGCGGGAGCTGTATGTGGCAGCTGACGAGGCCTCTATTGCCCCCATCCTGGCTGAGGCCCAGGCCCACTTTGGACAAAGGCTTGGCCTAGGTTCCTACCCTGACTGGGGCAGCAACTACTATCAGGTGAAGCTGACGCTGGACTCAGAGGAAGAAGGGCCTCTGGAGGAATGCCTGGCGTACCTGACTGCCCGTCTGCCTCAGGGATCACTGGTCCCCTACATACCCAACGCCATGGAGCAGGCCAGTGAGGCTGTATACAAACTCGCCAAGTCAGGTAGGGGCCTCCTGGGGGCAGGCAGATGCACCAAACCACCCTAGGTCTCAAGAATGCAGGGGCTGTTGGAGGCTTCCCAAAACTCCAGGAGAAGGTAGAGGATAGCTAAAGTTGATTCATTCATTCTTCCAATAAATATTGGTTGAGTACCCACTTTCACCAGCATTGTGCTGGGTGTTGAGGAGATAGCTGGGTATACAGGACAGATGTACACTCAACTCTACAGACCAGTAGTTTAACAGGAAAGGTAGCCATTACACAGGTAATTATGCATGAGATGTCAGTGATGAGGGGGACTGCACAGCAAGATCAGCCTTGATCTGGGATCAGAGAAGGCTTCTCTGGGCAAGTCACATATAAGCTGTACAATAAGGAGGATTTGGCCAGACCAGGAATGGGGCAAGAGCACACAGTATGAGACAGGGCATAGAAGAAAGCAAGAGGTTTAGGAGAATGGAAAGAAACCACGATCCCAGAGGGGAGACACTGAGAAGAAGTGTGGCTAAATGGCAGGCCAGGAGCCTACCCTCCAGGTCTAGTAGGCAGCATGAAGGAATCTGGACTTTATCCTAGATGCACTGGGAAGATATTGAAGGGTGTTAAGCAAGGGCATCATGGCCCCAACTTCCCTGTGACAGCCATGTGTGTCTGTCTGATGGCCTCTTCCCTACCTGTCTGGCAGGGTCTTCTCTAGGGAAGAAGGTGGCAGGTGCCTTGCAGACCATTGAGACTGCCCTGACTCGGTACAGCCTCACCCAGCTCTGTGTGGGCTTCAATGGGGGCAAGGACTGCACTGCCCTCCTGCACCTCTTCCATGCAGCTGTGCAGAGGTGAGCCTATCCTCGAAGGCAAGACCCCAGAGATACCAAGATACTGATCTGCCCCATTTTCTGGTTTCCCATCCTAGAAAGCAGGAAGGAAAATGGGTGTCTGGATGGAGTTTGGGAGGGAGGTAGCCATAGTAACCTCTCAGTTCCATTTCCCCACCCTATTTATTGAGCATCTGGCACATGCTTGGCTCTGGGTGTGGATGTGCAAGCCACTATCCCTGATGCAGGGAGGTTCCAGTCCTGTTGAGGAGGTGAGATTTACCTACCTGAAACAGCATATGTGCTCTGGATTTGAGAGGTGCGATATCAGAGTGGGCTTCCCAGAGGGAGTAGGTTCTGATGGATGGGAAAGACAAGGAAAGAGGTGGAGGGGAGGGTGTGCATCCCAGGGGCCTAGGAGAATAGTGCAAGCTCTCTGGAGAGCATTTCTCTGCCCGTGCTGGCAAGCCTGTGATTTCTCCCCCTCCCCAGGAAATGCCCTGACACTCAAGAACCCCTCCAGATCCTATATATCCGCAGTATCTCCCCTTTCCCTGAGCTGGAGCAGTTTCTACAGGACACCATCAAGAGGTACTAGGGGCCTGGAGGTTTGGGCTCCAAGAGGGGGATGGCAGAGCCTGTTCGTGACTTCCAGTCCTCTTCCTTCCTCAGGTACAATCTGCGGGTGCTGGAGGCTGAGGGCGACATGAAGCAGGCCCTGAGCCAGCTACAGGCACAGCACCCCCAGCTGGAGGCCGCCCTGATGGGCACCCGCCGCACAGACCCCTACTCCTGTAGCCTCTGTCCCTTCAGCCCAACTGACCCAGGCTGGCCCTCGTTCATGCGCATCAATCCGCTGCTGGTAATGCAGAAGAGGACTTACTATGTTCAGTCTCATGTCCCCTGTCAGTGCACCCTGGCTTCCTAAGGTAGGGACATTGGAGCCTGGGGCTTGGATGAAGGGGCCCCATCATCCAAGGAAGGCTGTGCTGTTTGTTCATTCAGCCTCTTGACCAATATTTATTGAACGCTGATTCAGTGGCAGGCACTATGCTTTTTTCTGTGGACAGAACAATGACTCACACCTGTGCTGTTCAATATGGTAGCCATTAGCCATTTATTTACACTGAAATCATAATTAAAATAAAATACAAATGACTTAAAAACACTGTATTATATATCTTAAAAGGATGAATTTTGATGGCATGTGAATTATATCTCAATCTTAAACATTAAACACAATTCAAAATTTAGTTCATCAGTTGCACTAGCCACATTTCAGGGGCCCACCACGTTAGCACAGAAAGAGAACATTTTCACCGCTGCAGAAAGCTCTGCTGGACAGCTGTAGCTCACACAGACAGCCCTTTCCTGTCTTCCTGGAGCCGACATGCCAGTGGAGGGTGAGTTGGGAGTAGAGAGGGCACAGGATGAAGGCTTCTTTCTCACTGCTTGGCCTACACCGGAGGATGCACCAGTGAATCAGATAGCAGGCCCTCCAAAGCTAAGGAAGCACAAGAACCCTGAATGGGCCCCTTCCCAGGCAGCAGAGGGTAAAGTGGGCAAGGGCAGTACTTATGATTCTTCTCTGATTCTGACCTCCCAGGACTGGACCTACAGAGACATCTGGGACTTTCTGCGTCAGCTGTTTGTGCCATACTGTATCCTGTACGACCGAGGGTAAGGGTGTCAGAAGAGAATGGGTGTAGGGAAACACATGGGTGCTGAAATAGGGAGAGCACCTCACCACACACTGGCCCTCTATTCTCCCGCCTCCAGCTACACATCCCTGGGGAGCCGGGAGAACACGGTGCAAAACCCAGCCCTGAAGTACCTGGGCCCAGGAGGACAGCCCACCTACCGTCCAGCCTACCTACTTGAGAACGAAGACGAAGAACGGAACTCCCGCATGTGACCTGTCACTCCCGCCCACTCCAGGAGAGAAGGAGGCTGTTCTGGGGTGTGACCTCTCAATAAACTGCCTCTCCTCTCGTGTGTCTGTTGCTCTGGCTGCGTCTTCCTGCTCGCAGGGGATGGAAAAGCAGAGTGGGCCAGGCCTTGCCAGCTCTGAGCTGGCAGTGCGCACTCTGAGGGGCTGGAAAGTGGTGATTCTGACTGAATGCCAACCTAGGCAGCAGCCCACCAGAGGGCAGAAGCAAGGATTGTGCCAACCATTGGGAGTCCCGGCAGCCAGGCAGGACACCCAAAGTTTCTAGGTTCGGGCTGGAGGAAGGCAAGCTGAGGTGGCCTGGCTGTGGAGGATGCCAGGTCCTCCTCCTCCTCCTCCTCCTCCTCCTCCTCCTCCTCCTCACCCCACCCCTCCTTCATGGCTGTGCATAGGGGCTGACTCAGCCCATTCCTGGGTCCAGAATCTTCCCTGCGTTAGACCCTGGGGCCTTTGTCCCTGTAGTCATGAGGCCTGAGGGGGTGGGGACAGTGTTGATAAAAGGCACCAGAGGCAGCTCCCACACCCTAAGAGCTGCTGCCCACATGCAGGCCCGGACACAGCCCCTAGCCCAGGTCCTACCTTTCTCTTTCGGAGGAGCCCTTCGAGATGCTGGGCTCCAACTGCCTGTTGTAAAGGGGGGTGCCAGGTGGAAAAGCCTGCAGCGCACCCTGAAGGAAGTTGCCTACATCCTCCTCTGCTGCTGGTGTATCAAGAAGCTGCTGGATTAATGGCAGGAAACTGCCTCCCCACCAGCACCACAGGTGGCATAGCTCAGGTGAGGGGGGAGGGGAGGGCAAACAGGAGGCATGGCTGCTGCTTCTGTGGCAGAGCCTGTCCCTCAGCTTTCTATTCTCTTTAGTGCCCAGCTCAACCCCCATTAAGACTCCTGGGGCCACTTGTGTTTGACCAAGGATGAACCACAAACAACGCATGAAGTGTGGACCCTGCTTTGAGTTGGTGCCATCTGTCAGAACTGCCTCATCTCTAGACCTCCATTCCCAGCCCCTACCTCTGTGGAATTGCTAATGCGTAGGACCTTGGCCTGCTGGCTAGGACCCCAACGGGACTGCAGCAGGACCTGGCAATCCTCCAAGCCTGGCACAGTGAGCCCACCAGCCAGATGGTTGATCTTACCATGCCCTCTTAGTGCCAGGAATGGGTTGTCCCCTAATATCTCTGTTTGAGAATCACTGAACTATATATATAATAAACAGGGCTTGAGGCTAAAAGTTCTCAGTGTCTAAAAGGGAATCAGAAAAAGTCAGCACTGAAAAAAAAAGAAAAAGCACTGGAAGGGTCTGGGAGCCAGGGTGTTGACCATGGGGGGGGGGGGGGGGGTGTTCTAAATGGAACTGAAACTGAAAGCCAGGTTTCCTGACTCACTGGAGCCTAAGTGGGGAGGGTGGAAAGGCCAGGTTCCACCCAACTTGTGGGTAGGGAGGGGTCAAGATTGGGCAGAGTCTTCTGTGAGGACCTGTGCATTAGGGTGGGAACCCAAATAGAAGACCGGATCTGGCCAGCTCCTGCCTCTGAGGATCTTGGGGAAAGCCCTGGGCTGATGCTAGCCCCCCCTCATGGAAGAAGTAAGGGCCCTGTTCCTCCAGGTCACAAAGTTGCAAGAAACAGCACCTATGTGGCCATACAGGTTCCTCAGGCTCATCACAGGACACAAACCACAAGAAGGAGCAGAATCGACCCTTCACTTCCCCTTGGCAGCCAACAACAATTCCTTTCCCTGAATCGCTCCCAGTGGTAGGTACTTGTGAGCCATTTACATCATCTTGCTTGTGCTTACTGACTGCCCACTCAGCCCCTACAGCCTCAGGGCCAGCCATAGGGCCTGTTCTAAGCATCCCTGGATCTCTGGATCTCGACCCTCCATTCCCTGGTCCCTCCTGGAGCCCAATTATTGCCCCCCTCTTTCTCTCCTGGGGAACTGGCCTGGAGATGGTGTATGAGGCCCTCCCCCAACTCATAGGGACAAGCTCTTCCTCAGCCTTGTTCTTAGTTAACTGCTTTTTCTCTGGACTTATTTTTTATTTTTGTAAAGGCAATATATGCCTAGAGTAAATGATTCTAATAGTAAAAGGTAAAGCTCCCTCCTACACCTATCCTCCACCCCCAGCTCTCTTCCCTGGAGGTAACTATGGTTACCAGTTTCTTGGAAAGCATGATAGAGATAGTCTCTATACATATATCACATATTTATTCACTTAACAAATATTGAGCATCTATACATACCAATCTGGGTGCTTTGAATACAGCAGTGAACAAAAGAGATCCTGTATTTGTGGAGCTTACATTCTGGTGGGTAGACACAAAATAAAATATAAACAAAAAAATAAATATAGAGATGATAGGTAATAGGTGCTATGGGAAAAAAGTTAAACTGGGGATGCGAGTGGAAGTAGGTCACGGGGGGCCTAGTAAAACATGGTAAAAACTTGAGATGTTATAAGGAGTTATTGCAGGGGGTTGAGCATGAACTGATTTTGTATTTAAAAGGTTCACACTGGCTGCTGTTTGTTGTTGTTGTTATTAATGCTCACCTGAGGATATTTTTTTTTTCTATTGATTTTTAGATAGAGTGGAAGGGAGGGAGGGAGGGAGGGAGAGAGAGAGAGTAAAGCATTGATGAGAGAGAGAGTAAAGCATTGATGTGAGAGAGACACATCAATTTGTTGCCTCCCGTGTGACCCCAACTGGGACCAGGGATGGAACAGGTATGTGCCCTTGACCGGGAATCGAATCCTTGACCCTCTGGCTCGAGGGTTGAAGCTCTAACCACTGAGCAAAAACAGCCAGGGCTGCTGTTTTGAAAACAGACTTAAGGGAGGAAGGTTAGCATAGGAGAGACCTATTAGGAGGTAATGGGCACAATCCGGGCCAGACATATTGGTGGCTCAGAGTAGGCTTACATTAATAGCAGGGATAAAAAGAGGCTGGATTTGCATACACTTATTTTTTTATAATAATATACATTACACTATACACGGTTCTGTGCCTTGCTTTTTCCCCCCTTGTACAGGATTCCACATCTGTACATTTAGAGCCTACCCACTCTTTTTTTGTGTGGCAGCATAGTACTCCAACACAAGATTATTTCTTTCTCTTTTTTTTATTTTTTATCCTCACCCAAGGACATTTTTCCATTTTTTTGTTCAGATAGAGTGGGAGATAGAGATAGAAACATCGATGTGAGAGGGACACATCAAGTGGTTGCCACCTGCACGACCCAACCAAGGCCAGGGACAAACTGCAACTGAGGCACATGCCCTTAGTGGGAACGAACCCTGGTCTCTCGGGACTGTAGGCCAACGCTCTAACCACTGAGCAAAACCGGCCAGGACTCTTTTTTCTTTTCTTTTCTTTTTTTTGTGGTACATGCCCCTAGTGGAAACCGAACCCGGGACTCTCTGGTCTGTAGGCCAACGCTCCAACTGCTGAGCCAAACCGGCCAGGGCTCAAGATTATTTCTTATCCCTGGCAGCTCAGCACGCCTCTTTAGACATCCACAAAATACAGGTCCATGTTCTCGCCTAATCCCTTCAGATCCCCACCCTCATCCTAGGGCACATAAATGAGAAGGGGTAAGGTCCTGAATCTAACCAGAGTGGTTAGTAGTGGAGGTGAACACAGAATTTATCTTCCCACCTGAATCGGGGGCTCATAACCTGTTCCCTTCCATGCCAGCTCCAGCCTTCCCTGGCCTTCTGCCTCCTTTTCCTTTCTTAGGCCTCACTCCCACCAAGCTGAGCAGTGCCTGGAGGTGGATCCTGGAGTCTGAGCATAAGGGCATTGGCCAGGGGAGAGGATATCTGGCAAAGACCACTGGGGAAGTGGTAGGTGGAAGAAGTCAGAGTAGTGAGGAACTGAGGGAGAGTAGAGACTTCCAGTGGCCCAAGGAGGGTGTCGGAGCTGAAAAGAGAGCTCTGAATGTGGAAAGCCCTGAATGGCAAGAACATGGACCTGCATTTTGTGAGAGCCCTTTTCACACTACAAAGTGCTTTGAGCCTTACAAAAGTCCACTTCAAAAGTAGACAGGCCCTGCCCTGGCTGGTTTGGCTCAGCGGTTAGAGCATCAGCCCATGAACCAATGAGAGGCAGGTTCGATTCCAGTCGAGGGCATGTACCTGGGTTGTAGGTTCCATTCCTGGTTGGGGTGCATATGAGAGGCAACTGATCAATGTTTCTCTCTCACATCAATATTTCTCTTTCCCTTCCTCTCTCTCTCTTACTCTAAAAATCAATAAATAGCCCTGGCCAGTTTGGCTCAGCGGTTAGAGCGTCGGCCTGCGGTCCGGAGAGACCCGGGTTCGGTTCCCACTAGGGGCGCGTACTTCGGTTGCAGTTTGTCCCCGGCCCTGGTTGGTCGTGCGGGTGGCAGCCACTCGATGTGTCCCTTCACGTCGATGTTTCTTTCTCTCTCTCCCTTCCTCTCTCTCCCTCCCACTCTATCTGTACAAAAAATGGAAAAATATCCTCGGGTGAGGATAAAAAAAAAAAATCAATAAATATATCCTCCGGTGAGGGTTTAAAAAAAAAGTAGAACAAAGGTAATTACCCCATTTTAACAGTGAAGGAAACAGGCCTAGAGAGGTAAAGTAACCCATCCAAAGTCATATTCACAGCACACTGTAGTAGGGTAGTCATTTAGTGAACCCAGATTTCCTCATCTCAAATTCAGGGCTTCTCTCAATTAGCCTGCCTTCCTCTTCTGCACTGGGGATGGTGGCCTAGGTGGCCTGGGAGGCAGGGCCAAGCAAGCAACAGTGTTGAGGGGACTGCTACCCCCACTCTGCTCCCACTCCATGCTTTCCCACTTCCATCTCAACCCTAAGCTCCCCTTGTTCTTGGTCTCCCCAGCTCACTTGGGAGCCCCAGCTTCCTCATTTTCACCTAATCCATACAGGCCAGGAGATGGTTCCCTGGTCTATACCACCCCACTCCTCTAGAAGGGAGAAGAGATACAGCAGCTTCCTTGCAATGCTCTCTTTCCTGTTAGAGTAAGCTGAGATTTAGTGTGTCCAAACTACTCTCTCAGTAACTCACTAGAGGACGGGGGGGGGGGGGGGGGGGGGGGGGGGGGGCAGGGCAGGTAGAAGGGCTGTAGGGAGGCCGGGGTAAAGGGAAGCAGAGTGCCAAAATAGGGAGGGATGGGTAAGATCTCACCTACCCTTCTGCGCCCTGGGCCGTCTAGTGGCCACAAGGGGTAGGAGAATGGCCGGGGTAAAATGGGATAGGAAACTAGGCAAAGCTGGAAGCAACCCCAAGGCCGCCGGCCTGAGGAGGAGGAGCGGCTTGACACCAGAAATCCCAGCTGATTTTGTAGGATATAAGACCCTCAGTGGTGTAGGAAAAACAGGTGGAAGAGAGGGGTCATAGCAAAGTGGTCTGGGGAGCCACATGCCATAAACTGGATATTATAGTAACGATCTTGGGAGGGTCCCACGTTTTCCCAGTAAGGCCACTGGAAGGGGGAGGGGGGTTCCAGTCCTTCCACCAGCGCCAGAGTGCACACACCTCCAAGTGTATTGGCTCTTATTTGTGTCCCTATTTGCATTTCGTTTGCATATGAGTTATTTCCCCTTCAAAAGGGAGAAGTCGGCAGCCCCTTTCTCAATTACTTCCAGCTGAGGCTTTGTACTCCAGATTCTCAGGGCATACCCATTTTTCAGGCCATTCTCTGGAAGCTCTGACCTCCAGCCCTTGGTACTCCTCCATATTTCGCCTTCAACTCTTTACCTATCCCAGTTTCAAGGCACACCCCAAACTCCTAGCTGGGTTCCAGAAAGCGGGGGACCTGCGCCGCCTGGTGGCTGGCCAGAGGGAAGCTGAGAGCAGAGAGGTTCTGATTCGCCTTCCCTGGGACGTGGAGTTTTGGAAAATGTTCCCCCGAGTTTCCTGAAGCTAAATTTATCTCCCCCGGCCCTGGGGGGCGCAGAGATCCTGGCGACGATTAGCGCTGCTCTGCAGCCTGCTCCCGCCCAGAGGCCCGGAATAGGCGCCGAGTTATAAATAGTGCCGCCCGCAGGTGTGGGGGGAGTCGACGGGAGGGGGCAACCCTTGCAGCCACGGGCCCTTCAGGTGGGTTGGGCGGTCGCGGGTAGGGGCTCCGGGGGTGCTGCGGTCTGAGTGCCCCCAGCGGTTTCCTGGGCGGCGGGTTTTTCGAGGGAAGCGGAGGCAGCAGGGGGAAGGGGGGCAGTAGGGAAGAGGTGGGCGCCTGGTGCAGGCTCAGGCTCCACTTACAGCTCGCCCCCCTCCCCACATTCCAGAACAGGCCCCCAGACCCACTCACTCAAGACCCCGCCCAGGCAAAACCTGGCCTTTCCTCACGCCTGAAGCACTCTCTCCTCCAGGCTCTGAAAGCATCTAATTCCTCTGCGGATGCCCTTTGGAGCACGTGGCCCAGCCAGCCGTCACTCAGATTCGCTGTCCCTGGGCTGTCCCAGGTATCAGCCCTCCTTAGGAGGGTTAACTTCCAGTCAGGGCTTCCATTCTTTGGTCAAACACCTCTTTCTCTGGGTATTTACCCACCTCCTGCTACTCCCCATCCCCACCCCAAATTAAGATCTAGTTGGTCGCCTGAAGATTTAAGTTAGAACATGCGTATCTGGGACGCTCCCCTATCCCCAGGAGGCCCCTGCAGGCCCGGCCCGACACCTGCCCTCCGGTTCCCAGTTCCAGTCTGGGCCTGGGGGCGGAGCGGGGGTGGTGGCAGGCCCCAGGGGCCCAGCCTGGTATCGTAGGAGGCAGCGGCCCCCAGTCAGCAATTCTCAGCCGCAGCTGTCTCGGTGGTTTGGTGTGTTGAGGGCCCGGAGTTGGGGGGTAGGCGGGAATTTCAAGTCGGGGTTCCCCCCTCCACTTCTGAGTGAGGAAGGGAGATGTGTGGACCAGAAGAGGAGAAACGGGGGGGGGGGGGTCACTGAGGAACTATCAGGAGGTTCCGGGGCTGTCGAGTATCAAGGGAGGAATGGCATTTCGGTCCTGAAAGATCCAAGCTGAGTCCAGCAAGACGTTGGACACAACCCGCAGAGATGAGGACAGAGCGAGCCAGAGGCACTGGGCGCCGTTTACTTATCTGTACCTAAGGGCTAGTGCCAAGCAAGGCGCCCGCCCTTCTATTGCCTCTGGAGGCCCTAGTTCTGCCCTCCCTGTGGCACACTCCCGCCCTCCTTTCCCTCGGCCATGCACCCTCCTCCCCGAAGCAGCCCCCTCTCCATTTCACTTGTGCATCTGGCACTGCCGCCTCGCCCCTGGCACGGCCGGTTCCCCAGGCTACCAAGACCGCGATGGCTGGAGAAGGGAGGGAAAAACCCTGGCCTGGACCCCACCGGCTCCGGGCCCTCACCAACCGGAATCTGACCGGCGAGGCCAAGAAGAAAACCCGGAGTAGTGACCCTCCTCGGGACCCAAGGGGGACAGGGACGATAGGAAAACCCGGAGCGGATTACCCTAGTGGGAGCGCCCCATGCCTGCTGCTACTCCCTCCTTCCTATAGCCCCCCTAGTTCTCCAGTGAGATAATGTCTGGGGTGGGGGGCTATTTGGTTTGGCCTGGGCCTTCATGGGCGCCTCACACTTTCCGCCCCTGGCTGGGACGCACGGCAGCGGCCGGCCCCTAGGCTGAGTCACGGCCCTAGAGAGAGGAGGGAGGGACCGGGACTCTGTCCCTCCCCCAGTGGGGGGATCTCGGGTCAGCCCGGGTGAGGGCCAGGGCCACACTGGCACCGCCCATTGTAGTCCAACAGGTTGAGCTGGTGCCCCGCAGAGCCACCTGCTGGAAAGGGAGGGAGGCCCCCTGCGGAGGGGGTTGGGGAGGAGAAAGCGAGTCCCACCCAGCTTGGCCCGGCTGGCAGTGGCAGCGGGTAGCAGCACCTGGTCCGAGGTGTCCGAATTTGATTCCATTTTACACTAGTGGGAGGGGCTCTTTGGGGTACGCAGCACTGCAGACCCCGTTGGAAGCATCCCTCACAGGCTACCTTCCAGTTGGAGGGGGCACTGAAATTCGTATCCCGGTCCCCTCCAAACCCACACGTCCTAAAACATCCAGGCCCTCCTCCCCACCTGGGTCTCCGCGAATCCCAATCAAGAAGTCCCTCCTTCTCTGAGACTCAGTTTCTCCATTTCGGAACTGTGGGATAGAGGCTCGGAGCAAGAGCAAGAGCGCCCTCCTGCTCCCCTAGGCGATCCCGGCTCCTCCCCTCTGACAATGCCAAGGCCGCAGCAGCAACGGCTGGAGCGCAAAGGATGCTTGCCCGGGGCACTGATCCTTCCCTACTGGGCGCCGGGTAGGAACGCAAGGTGCCTGCAGCCTCAACTGCCCCATTCCCGGAGGGGGAGGGGGGAGCGTAGGAGCTGGAGCCTAGGGCCTGGTGGCCTCCCCCTCCTCCTACCTCCCGGGGCCCTGACCTGATTATAGCCTTTCACGGGACCCCCCCCCCCTCAATCCCCTAAGTCCCTGCCTCATCCCCACCTAGCCTATCTTTAACCTCTCATACCCTTCCCTCCCGAGGTGCTGACCCTACAGAAAACCCTTCTTGGAGGACTGGGAACCCCTGACAGGAGTGCTCTGTTCCCTAGCTGCAGTGGACACTACCCCCTCCCCCTACCCCTCCTCCAGCTTTCAGGCCAGCCCCTCGGCTCCGCCCAGTCCCTGGCCGAACGAAAGGCGGGACCCAGTTGGGATGGGCAGTTGTTCAGGCCAATGGGAAGACGGGGCGGTGGAGTGCCCGGGGCAGGGAGGAGCCGCCGCGGAGGGCTGGATAGGGGTCCGGGGCGGAGCTCCAGTTAAGGTGGACTGTGAGAGATAGGGGCTTGAGGAGAGAGGGAGAGAGAGCTAGAGAGAGAGAGCTAGAGAGAGAAGGGGACCGCGGCAGGTGAAGGGAGAAAGAGATAGAGAAAGAAAGAGGGTGGGAAAAGAGGAGGGTGGGAAAGGCTCGGAAAGCAAAGTAAGAGCTTGGACGTAGGGAGCGAAAAAAGGAGGGAGGGACCCATCTGCGCCCTGCAGGGACTGGCTGGACCAAAGGGTTGAAGTTTATGTCCTTATTGGGTGGAGGGAGGGGGGCCTGGGGGGGCGGGTAAAAAACCAGGAAGTGACAGAGGGTGTTGCTAAGGATTGGGGGGGGAGTTTAGGGGGTGGCAGGGGGCGGGGGGAGGGAGGGGAGGGATGGGGGGAAAGCAAGCTGGAGGACAGGTGAGACAGCAGGACAGGTGAGGCGGGCCCTGAGGGGGGGGCGGGTGGGAGCCAGGTGAATGTACGGCTCTCGCGACCGAGGGGGGGGGGCGGGCGGCAGGAGGAGGCAGAGGGCTGCGGAGGAGGAGCCCCCCAGCAGAGAGCGGCGAGCGACTGACCGCGGCCTTCTGACCAGGACCGGAGCAGGGCCCCAAGCCCCCGGGCCTGGCGGGGGACACGCTTCTCCCCACACACTGTGCCGCAGCAGCTCCAGCCAGCGGTCCCAACGGCGGAGAGGTGAGTGTACCCCACTTTTGTCTCCCTGCTTGGGGTCCCCCAGACTCCAGACTACTGCAGTGTCCTTCGTCTGTCCTGTAAGTGGGACCCCACACACACTCACGCATGCATACTAGATTCCTACCACTCCCCTTCCCAGTGCCTTTCCAACACCCCGGCTCTTTGGAATTGATTTTAACTGGGAGAAAAGGTAGAGAAACAACTACGGCCGCTCCCAACTCGGGGTGGAGGGTCCCCAGAAACTTTCTCTGCACTTCAGGGATCAGACAGACTGGCGGCTCCGGGATGCAGAGAGGGCGAGGCGGCGCTGAGCGCTCCCACAGTGTCCTTCGTGACTTTAGGGGTAGACCCCCGACCCGACTGAGTTGAGGGAATGGAAACGCTGACGGATTCTAACTAGGACAACGCGCTCCCCCCCCCCCCCCGCGCCCCCTGGCGCTGTGGGTTGGACCCAGGCCAGTTGCATGCGGGGTGGGGGGAGCGCAGGAGGAGCGGCGGCCGGGGGGAAAGTTACCAGCTAGACTATTCGGTTTCTTACGCTTCCAGAGCCGCGCTCTCTCTCCGGTAGTGGGGCTCAGCGACAACCTCCGAGCGACATAGAACGACCCCTCCTCTCTCCGCCGTCCCTTAATTCCACTCCCTTTCTCAGGCTCTAGTCCGGCCGCCACCTTTTCAAAGCCAGCTCATGACCCTAGAACCCAAGAGCGAGGGTGGGTGACTGGGAAGGATTCTACCTCCCAGGCGCACCCCCACCGGCTCCGGCGCACCTGCCCCTACCCAGAGTGGGGGTCGCTACTGTTTTAGAGCCTACAGTAAGCGCCGCTGGGAGAGGGCTGCCAGGGGTGGGGGGCGCTGCTTTCCATTTCCAGCTTTTTCTCCTCCCACCCCACCCCAAGTCAGCAAGCGACGTGTCCCGGCCAGAGCGCGCGGGGGGGGGGGGGGGCCGGGAGTGTGGGGGGAGCAGCGTGGGCAGCGGGTTGTGCCCGGACACGTGCCTGCCCAGGCGCCCCGGTCCTGCTGGTGTTTGGAGAGAGGGCGGGTCCCCTGCCCCCCGCCCCGCACAACCCCCACGTATCAAAGGGCGGCTGAGACGTGGTGAGACCTCGGGGCGCCCTGGGGGGGGGGGGACTGGGTCCGGAGCAGGGGAGGGGCAGAGGCGCTGGTGCTAGCTGACCCACAGGAAACGAGCGCTGCTGACCTAGTTTGGGACACCGGAAGTGGGTGCTGAGGAGAGGGGGAGACCAGCAGGCTGTCCTGGCTTCCGGGCCAGGTGGAGGGCCTTCTTGAATTGACCCCTACCCTAATGCCTTAGAGACCCTTAGCTGCAGCTGGGAATGGGAATGAGTCAGCGCAGCTATTTCCCCTTCCCCCAACTTATTTCTGGAGAAGAGAGACAGTTTATCAGGGGCAGGGGGAGCCAGATTGGGCAGTGAGGGGTTAAACCAGGATGGGGACTCTCTGTTCCCTGAGGATGTATGTGTGTGTGGGGTAAAGCCTGGAGGATTATGGGGTTGCCTCTTGCTCCCCCACACACACCAACTGGTTTGGTCACCCCTGTACCTGCCTGGCACTGTTGGGAGAGCTGGCATGGAGTGGGCATCAGATTGGGAGTGGAGAGTGGGCATAAGGAGTGTTGTGCTGATCTGGAGAAGGACATATTTGTGACTGAGTTTGGGTGGTAGTGTTCCTCCTTAGTGGTGACTGGGAAGAAGGGCAGGGGGCTCCCTCTGGAGCAGCTGATGAAACAAGAAGAAATCTCTGTCAGTGCCTCCTGCTGTCCCTGGCCCCCCGGGGACCCCAGCTCCCCCAGCGTGCCTCTGTTACATGGTTGCTGTGGGCACGATGCAGCCTGCTGGCACCCCCAGACACTGTCCCTTCCCTTGGGTGCTACACCCCACAGCCTTGGCACAGGGGTCAGGAAGGGGTTAATGCCACCCAAAAGGGGCTCTGGGGAGGAAAGAAGGCAGTGCCCACTAGGCTCAGATGTCAAGGAGAGAGGCCTGCTCTAATGAGGCACTCTCATCACTACTTGGCTCTGGCTGATATGCACCCCACTGTTTGGGAGATAGGTACTGACCTCTTCCTCCTTCCCTGTGGTGCCCCCTGGCACCCAGGGCCCCCAGCTCCTCCTTGGCCTAGTGCCCGCCCCAGGAGGGCGTGGCAGGCAGCGGGGGCTGGGCTAACAATGCACCATCGGGCCCTTTGTGTGCTTGCACTTGGCACCCTGGGGAAAGATGGGGGAGGGGGGCCCAGCGGGCTTGGGGGACGGAGTGCCTCTGAGGGGACAGTGATAACTGGGGCAGAGAAGCAGAGAAAGAAGGCAGGTGGAGAGGAAAGGGAAGTAGGTCAGATAGGGTGCTAGTCCCCCATTCCAAACCAAGGCTGAAAGAAGCAGCCCCTGATTCTATGGCTGCCTAGATGGCATTATGCTTCCTGAGACATAGCCAAGGACTAGGCATTTGGGGTCAGAAGTCACTGCCTAGGGGACTGCTCAGATAGAGGAGGCCTGGCCTGGTACTGCCTCCTTCTTGGTGTCTGAGAGACCCAGTTCTGGTCTAACGCTGAAGCCCCAAGATGGTAGTGAATGGACTCCAGGCAGGGCACTGCCCTCTGATAGAAGCCTCTGGGCCTGCTTCAGGGCTTCCTGCCTCTGGCATGCTTGGTTCCCTGACCTTCTGAGAGTTAGGACTGCTCTGCCACCAGGCCTTGGGGCCTATGCCTGTTTTGGCTAAGGGCTGAAGAGGAGGGTGAGGGAGGAAGGTGGGGACAGATAGGACCCTGGCATGGGGTGTGCCTGCCCTGGCCTCTTCCCCCGCCTTCTGCTGAGTAAACTCGTGAGTAAACTTGACGTTTTGCCCGGACAGTTTGAAGTTGCCTCGCCGCCCCCCCCACCCCCAGTCCTGCCAACACACAGGCGGCCAGGCGCCAAGGCGGGCCTGGGGGACTGGGGGGAAGGGGTTAGGACTACTGTAGTCTACCATCAAGGGCTTTGGAAGGGCAAGAAAGACCCTCCCACCCAGCCAGACCCAGGTCTTGGCGAGTCTTGGTTGGGGCCTATAAGCATCTGTCCTAGAGCCTTGGGAAGCCCAAGCAAAGTGGTCTCGAAGCAAAGCCTCTGCCCAATTCTGACCTCCACTCCCACTAAGGAAAGGTACCCAGCTGCCATCTGGCTCCTAAGTGCCCACCTTTCATGTTGAGGCTTCCTGGCACGGGGGGGAAGCTCCCTTAGCAAATACCACAGGGAAACCAGAGAACGCTACCCTCTTCATTCTGTCCCACAGCCCAAGGTGGGTGGGAGGCTGGTGCCCTTAGATCTCAGCCCTCTCTTCAATGAAGCCTCCTAGCTGCCACGGCCTCAACCCTGGAGGATAGGCCCTGGAGGACAGCATCCTCATTTGCCAGCACGATTCCTTGACTTCACACCTGAGCCTGACCCCACACATACCTCACTCTACCAAACTCCCGAACTCCCCTTGAGCCTGTCCCTTATCTCCCCCAGCCCCTTCCTCTGCCTACTAGCATCCCAGAAGCAAATCAGCCTTCAGAGCTCCCTAGCCAACAAACACCTGTGCCAGATCCAGGGTTAGGGTGCCCCAAATAAAAAAGCGCTGGTGACAGGCAGACTTAGCCAGTGACCCCCCCCAATACAACAATTTGCTATCATTTGACATAACTAATTCCTCTTATGCCTCCTCAGGCCACCAGAATGACAGGGGAAAATGCCTTCCCAGTCCCTGCCAGGCCTCGGAGTGGGGCTCCACCAAGCCCTTGCTTTCGACCTCATGTCTCTGGCTTTGATTTCCTTCCTGTTTCCACTGCACCCCCCCCCCAACTCCTCCCCACCCATATGCCCCTTTCAACAGACATCCTCTCTTCCTTCCTTCCTCCTTTCCTCCTCCTTTGCCTAGGAGCAGGGGTTCTCTCCCCTCACCATGGACCTCCTAACCTTTTAGCTCTTCTAAACACAGTCCCCTTGGAGATTTATGACCAGGTCCTCTGCTCTGCCCTCCCTACCCCATCAGCAAGGCTCTGGGGAAGAGAAGAAAGAGCACATGGCTTCTCGAGGGAACTACAACTCCCAAGGTACATGCAAAGCAATTGTAGTGCACACTGGGAGTTGTAGTCCTTGAACTCTCTATTTGGTTAAATTTGGAAATATTTCTGGATGGGAGTAAAAACCAGGATTGGGATGGATTGGAATGTGGGATGGGTACCCTCGTCATCCCTTCCACCTGGTTCTTGTCATCCTGTTCCCCTGTGACACCATGTACCCATGATTGACATCCATCTCCCCTGCTGAGACATACTACCCATTGTCACTATAGAGCCCCACCCAAGAGATGCCCACACCCTGCCCTGCTGCCCCTGGCAAGGGTGAAATGGAGGGGCCCCATGGACTCCTTCCCTGTCCCCTGCCCTCTAGGCTGATTCCCTCCTTTATGGGGATCAAAGGGCAGACAGCAGCCCCACCCCACTCCCTCTTAGGCTTCTGGCATTAAGGCTGTCAGGAATTGCAGGGACTTTGGTGCCCAAGCAAATGCCTGGGCAGGGGGAATGCTGGGAGGCTGGTGTCTGGTGGCAGGGAGAGACACTGACCCCCACCTTGGGGAATGGAGTTGTCAGTGACTGTTCATCAGACTGTCCATAGCCTCCTGGGCTCTCTGTGCAGGCCCTGACCCATGGGCTGCCTCTGGAGGAGACTGCATGAGAACAGGGTCTTGGGCCTTATCTGTAGGACCTAGGGGCCTCGGCCCGCCTGGCTGGCACCAAGGCACAGGGGTGACCCTCCCCCACCCCTGGCCCACAGTTGGCATGGGGCGCTGGGAGCAGGGGGGTAGGAGGGAGAGAGGGCACGACTGCCAGCATCCTGGTGGGTAGGTGCCAACCGGGACGGGAGCTGGTGAGGGGCAGCAGGCCAGCGGCATTGAGCCAGCAGCTGTTGGGGGGAAAGGGGAAGGGATATTTTGGGGGACATTTTTGTGGTCCCCCCCAGCCCAGCA